CTTTCCTTTGTTCTACGCGAAACGACTACTGTAGAAGTTGTGGGTATTAGATCTTGCTTTGGTAAAAGTCATACTATCCATGAACGTTATCCCCCCTTCAACCTCTAGACATCTATTTCTCACAATTCCATCACTATAAGCATCATCTGAAATTTGTTTTCTGCTTGTAAGTTGATTGCATGATGAAAAGTTTTCATAATATTTCTCATTTTCTTTTCGGACTTCAGTCTTGATCAGAATTTTTATTGTTCGAATACCTGCATTATCGTGTGATATTTACAAATTCCTTTTTTCTCTTCTGAGCTTTTTTAGTTGTGGAGAAGAGATCCAATCATATCTAGTGAACATTATTTCAGTATGACAGAAAATGCCCAAGCAGAACTTAAGATAACAGGTTATATTAGAGACAGTAACATCTGACACCTCATCAAAGAATGTAAATAGGGTTGTTCTTGGATTGTCTCTGTAAGGTGAACAAAGGCCCTTCTGCGTAACTTGCCACACACTTTCGGCAAACACGAATAACGCAGTTCTCGGAATTCAACAATAGAGCTGTCATTCGCATATTGTATATGTCACGACCGTTTATGAAAACCAGGTCCGGGATTTTGTTCAGAAGAGCATTGAATATGACCAGGTTCTCATAACCAAGGGATATGAGAAAGCTGTGATCGCAAGAAATAACGTTTCCACAGACTTTCGACGAAACTTTTTCAAGAACAGAAGCAGAAAATTCAGTAAATTTGTCTTAAAAGACAGATCTATCGGAGGAACTTGTTATAACGCAATGGATTAAGATAAACCGCGTCGCCAATTTGTTGTAACTGTAGCGGGAATTAAAATGAGGAACGTTGTTGCCTTGTTCTGTCTGCGCCTGACTAATACGCCTATCTGCTTCTGGTACCTTCCGATTCAGCGAACCACGCAAATATCAAAAGACAAAGTCTGGTCTCTGACTGTGTATTGTAGTACAACAACTATGACTACGACGACGACTACAACAACGACGACGACAAATAAACTTATTTAGGAAATGGTATTTATACAACTTTACAACCAATAGAGACAGCTAACAGTATTTGAAATAATTGGTCGTAATAGTCAATAACAAAATGCGTGGGAATGATGATATACCACATATGCGAGATTAACAGTCATTAAGATAATTGACAATAACAAAGTGTGTGAGAATTGATGATATACAACTTATACGAGATTAACAGTCGTTAAGATAATTGAACAATAACAATATGCGTGAGAAATGATAATATACAACTTATACGAGATTAACAGTCGTTAAGATAACTGAACAATAACAATATGCGTGAGAAATGATAATATACAACTTATACGAGATTAACAGTCGTTAAGATAATTGAACAATAACAAAGTGTGTGGGATCCTATCAGAACTGGAGTTTGGAGTCATATAAACATTTGTTATGTATACACGGGAATATTTACCTAAGTGCTTTGGACGAGACCTAACAGTGACACAGTCTATATTGTCATAGGAAAACTTAAAATATATATGGTTCGATGTGATAATATATATTTATTCCTATCTATGAAGGGCACACCAGTTTTACAGGCATGGATAAGTATTATTTACATTACATAAATCTGATTTATGGTGAAATTACATGTTTGCTGTCCTTTTTGACTTTAGTTTGTGGGTACAGTCTGCTAACCAGTCATTCAATGGAGCACATTAAGAAATATAGAAATATTGTCTCCGCATTAACAAAACACCCAAGTACGTGTTGGATGGATTACAAATATTTTGGAAAAAAATAAAGCTTAAAGTTAATTCCTCCAATTAACTGTGGTGTGTGCGGTATCGTATCTTGTTCTTGATTTGTATCCAAATTGGGTATTAATTTGAAATAAGTGATTTATTTGCGTAATTTTGCCAGCATTTTTATCGTGAGTAACACCAGAAATGAATTGTACTGAATGCAGATTAATACTGGTTATTGTCAGGCAGATTTGTTTTACTGCGCCCACGTCAACCAAAACCGCCATTTGTCACTGCATGGTTGTTCCGTACGAGTAAGTTGATTAACACGTAGAAAGGTATATGTAAGCCATTTTAGATCATTAATACTGTTTTTATAGGATGCTGTACAGCGTCTTGTTATCGTGACAGTAGATATTCCAAGGATGCCGAGTCATTTACTAGCCAAACCTTGAAGGATGATATGTGAGTAAGTGGTTTCAATTCCTGGTCAACTCCATCCTAACTGTAGATTTGTGCAACTTCCACTACAACGTAGATAGAAGAGAAGAGGCGAGTAGCAAAGTGCCAGAGAGGAAAGAAAAAATATGTTTTGACCATCTTGTATTAATAAAGGTGGCCTCCCTTCATAGGGCTTTTTCTTGGAACTATGTCTGTCCTGACGGAAAATTTTATATCCATTTAATAAGATAAGATTTTCCTTATATTTTTCGTGGAGCCAAGTCTATTGAATAGCTAGTACAAAAGCATTTCGATATACATTTGAGGATATTAGAGGCTGGAAATAGTCCATTTTCTTAGGCAGAGACGTGTAGTTAGTGCTAACAAAGCTGTAGCAGTAGGATATATCAACTCATAAACATTCTCGGATTGAAAAAGTTATTTGAAAATTGTAAATCCTCTCGTCTTAGTTCCCTCTGTTGTGGTCTTCTTCACGTTCCCAAAGAGTTGTACTTGTTATCCGTTGATCTGAGAGGCCTTATTCGTGATTCAGGTATAGCGAACCTGTCGCATGGATAGGTGGTTTCTAGGTATTACCTTGCATTAATCTGCATCGAATTCTCAATTATAATACTGGAAGAATCGTTTCACTCATAAAGTACCGGCACCAGAGAATAACCATCTTGATACACATCACAGGTGCATCGCGCATAACATGAGGGAGAGGTTGTGTAAATAGCCGTGGTGCATTTCATAGGATTCATCAATGCATACTTTACTTTATCTGAAACGCAAATAAACATTACATGGCAATAGGAGGAAGCACACAATGAACGCAAATTACAGAGCTTATCCGGAGAGTTCGCTAATTTGAAGAAGAGAGGGAAACTGCAACATACCTGTCACTGATTTTGTTTTTGAGCTATATATTCCGACGTCATTATGTACTTGGTCGTGTAACCTCTGTTGTAACGCGTTGATGGTTCATCCGAATTGATAGGATGGGGTTCCGGGCACGACACTGCAGTCACTGATCACTTGAAAATATCCCCCTCATTGGGACAGGTATAAAAGCCAGTCAACCGCAACATTTACTAAACAGGGCACATGGCATATCGTATTTACAAAACCTCAGGAATCTAACGCAAAAGTAAATAGACCAATCAGGTTGGTTGTACAACGTCAAAATCCCCCAGAAAATTAAACCATAAGTAAAATAATCAAAACCATTCGAAAAGGTTATAATATCAGTGGATGTAGACCTTCATTTACAGTTGTCTTCGCTCGATACTCAAGATCAGATGGTCAGAAAAGATCAGCAACAGGGATCTCTGAGAGCGAACCAACCAGGAACCGATTGTCAAACAAATAGGCAGGAAGAAATGGAGATGGAATGGCCATACTCTGAGGAAACAATGCATCAAGTGACATCACTAGACAAGCCATCGGTCGAGTGGAACCCGAAAGGGGAGTGGCGAGTTGGTCGTCAGTGCAAGGGTGACTTGGAGGAGGTCATGTGAAGAGGAGATGAAAACGTGTGGGCAGACATGGAGCCAGGTGAAGACTCAAGCAGAGAACCGAACGCAATGGAGACGCACGGCTGAAGCCCTATGTTTCTCTGGGAATTAAAAGAAACAATAACAATAATCAGTGCATGCATAAATCACGACTGCACGTCTAACAAAGAAGCTTGTCAGTCCTAACACCTCCGTTTCCATTAGTTCTCGACTTCAGGACTTCTGAAAGGCACTTTGTAGGCCTGTGTATTATCCGTCAGTTGCAATCTTTTAGGCTTTACCCTGATAGTAATGGTTCTCAAACGAGTCTTAAACAAACGCAGCTACTCTTCATTCAGATGCACTAAATAGTGGTTCAGTCACCTTCGATTAGTCTGCGTGGACCGAAAGTCAGCGAAAATTGAACCAATGAAAGTATAGGAAACAGGTAGGTTGGACGGACTCAAGCTCATTACCTCCTGGCTTCAACTAGAAATCCAACTCATGGTTGCCGTCATCTATCTTGCTATACCTGACCTTTGTAACACTACCTGCTGACTCTACAGCCCGGCCCACTTAACCTGTTCTTAACATCGTCTCGACTAGTGAACGGAGAACATATCACTTATGACTACTCAAGTGTGATGTGAAGACAGTATGGAGACACACAGTCACAGCCCAGCCATCATGTCCTTATCGCTTGAAAATCCAATTGCCCACCATGTGCTTCAATCCGCGCCTATCTTTGTCAAATAGGGCTATGGGTCAAGTCAGATTAGGAAGAGCGAAGTTAGCTTTGGAGGCCGTCAGTGCAGAGGCTTGCAGAGTCTCATTTGAAGTTCATATAGAAATCTAAGTGATCTTAAGTGATCGAGAAAGATTGCCTTTATGCTTTCAATATTATGATGGGTGCAAGATCCTCCCACAACACTCATTAACCGATCATTGTGGGAATTCTTAAATTGCAAAATAGATTTAATGTTAGTAAGAGAACCGAAATATTTGGCTGGCGCATAATAGAATAGGAGACTGCCTACAGAGTTCTTCATTCTTTCTCATTCCTATTATTGCTTGCATATATAATATATATATAACTCACACCTGAGGAACCACGCAGGAGTGCTGTTGATGTACTGACAACAAAATTTTCATTTCGACAGCTGCTGCAGAGTTAAATTAGTTGGAACATTTTAATTGTCAAAACCAGCAGGAATGAAAATAAACAATCTCGATTTAATCATAAGAATTACTAAAGATTCTATTCATTATATTTTTTTTAAAGCTTCTCTTCAGGTCGAATTTTGGTTTTGTTTTACTACACAAAACCATGAACCTACAGTAAACAACATTTATTTGAACTGAGAATCGTCTTGCAATTATGACAGAACCACCTGACAGTCAGAATGTGGCACTCATAAAGGCATCTGATAAAGACGTGAACCCAGTTAAATTCTCAGAGAGCATCACAAACCAGAATGTCTTGTAATTTGTAGTGAAATTATTTTTATAATTGTAAAACATTTTAGAGACTTCGGTAACGTTAATGCTCTTGTAGTTAGAGTAACAAATGATAACAAATATTGGATCATTGGCCTTTCAAATGGTACAATAGTTGTACGAATATTGTTAAATTTTCTTAAGTTGATTTTCCATTTTTAGTTATTACCCACAGAAGACAGTGGAGATAATAAAAATAATTTCTATACCCTTCATGCGGATAATGAAGTACTTCCGTGTGCTGATTTACAGCCTGTCCCCTATTCGAATGAACACAGCCAGACTAATCGACATTTACTTTTAGCAGCATGTAAGTTAATAATTGTGTCTTAGGAAAATGATAAGTTCCATTAGACAAGCTGCTCACATATGTCCAGTTTCCAAAACAGATGCTGTCATTGAGCATTTATAAAGAATTACGTATTCACTTACTTAACGCTATGGTTACACATATCTTGTACTTTATGTAATTCCCTAAAGTAATTTATGAATATATGAGTTATATGATAAAATATAAATCAGTAATCTTTTTGAGGGCAACTATTTTATTACTTATATAGCTGAATCATGATTTCAGAGTTTAATTTTTTTCAAAATATTTGTTCGTTGCCTACGCCGTCTAGACGGTTACATGTTCATGGACTAGTGACAGATGTTTTATTTCCGTGGCCGATTTGTCACTACAGTATACTTACAAAATTAAGTTGCCTTTTAAAATTAATCTCAGAAGTCGTGGTAAATTACTCAGATTTACGAAACGTTGCTTCTTTACATCTCAATCTGCTTAAATTTAAATAAAAAGTAGCATAAAAATAATTAACCATGTAAATTTGGCTGTTGTTGTTTTTCAAGTAAAGTAGAATTATTACAGCACTTTGTGGAAAACACTTTTTACATCTAGAAAATAACTTGCCAAAAGTCTTACTTAGCCCTCCAATGTAAATAGTGGTTCTAAGGGGATAAAAGGGGTCATAATGTAATAAGATATGAAGTAGTTATTCTAAATGGTGAATAAAATCTGTAGCTCATCTGGTTGCTTTTGATGTTGAGCTCTGATGAGTTGAAATCTTTTATTACGAATCTGGTTTACACCAACATACATAAGCTGGTCCCAGTATTAGGAGATCAGGAATTCTGTGACACTCCTAGAGTCTCTTTTGTTTAAAATTTCCACATCGTTTCTGTTGACTTGTGTCTTAGTTGTAGATATACTTTGGTATGAAGTAATGAGTATCATATCTTTTGACTTCTGGTTAATCTTTTTGGATATAATGATAAGGTGGGTATCTGTTTTTGCGGAAAAAGAGCTCTTCACAGCTGATACAACTAATTTTATAGATGATATTGGTTTTGTATTATTTCGCTATGAAATTGTCCGGTCCACTTAGCAATAAGTGAATTAACTCTCTTGATCTCTTATCGACTCACATTGCTAAAAATTGCAGTATTCTTCCTCTAATCTCAGAAATTTCAGGAGGACATTTCTGTGCTGCCTGTTTTTCTTGAGCGAAAACTTTTTATGGCAGAATCGTATCGATACGGGCTATCCTGAAAGACTGTCAGAAGACACTGCCGTTCTATGCTTTTCAGGAAACCAGTTCTTCAGTTTGCTTCAGCCTTTTTGAGTGAATAATGCCGAGTGTATCCTGCTTGATTGTTGTTGTTGCAACTGAGTTTCTGGTATATATGGGTTTACTTTTCCTGTACTTGTATTCTTAACTTTGATACATTTTTTCCTCGAACCTTGACTCTTAAAAGTGAGATCATTTTGTTTCACTACTTCTTTTTTAAATTGGATTTCGTTAGACAAACTGTTGATCAAGCCATTAGTGCTTTCCGAACCTCATCTTCTAATAGTGATAGAAGATCCATCTGCATCGTGCATTCAAAGTTTTCTCCAATTACTAGTATAACTATGGTTTCTAACAGTTTGCAACGACTAAGAAAGTCGGCTCTGACATAAATAATCTCATAAGCGTCTCTTCGGTTTGTTCAGCTGGATTGAAAGCAACCTGTGAGTTTAATGCAGCTTGAACATAGTGCTTTTGTCCGTTTAGGGAGGCATCCGTCACTTTCGGGTGGGTATCATGTAATTTCCTTAGCCAGCTTTAGTCTAATTCAAGTGAACCATTCTGTGATATAAATAAACCACGATTTCAGTGTCATTTAGCTGGATCTCCTTTGATGTCTCCGAAAACTGAGTTACTCACTTGATAAGAAAATCTCAGAATTATGTTAGATCTTTAAAAATTTCTTTGTCGCGCTCAGAAGTGATTTAGATTACTGTTTATTAGGTATGTCTAACCAGTTAGATTCCACTCACCAACAAACGTCATCTGTAGTCTAACCTGATTTCATGTTTTTACCTGAATTCTTCTTCATTCAACTGCCTAATGTTTATGAGTTGCTGGAGTAAAAAATTATCCTGATCAAGTCTTCAACTTTCTTGGTGCATTCTTCTTTCCCTATAAATACTGTGTTCATTGTGCTCTTCGATCTTTTTAAAGTATTTTGTTCTTGAGTACTGAGTTAATTATTACTGTGTTTCACCTTGATTATGCGAGGATAATTTAACAAATTTCTGTTGAATCTCTTGATTTGTTCTTGGAGATTTGACTAATTACTCTAAGGAAGGAGGGCATCACCATTCTTGGACTATGCAGGTCAGAAAAGAAAATAACAGTAAAAAGGTAGTCATTTATGTATCGATTTATCCTTGTTACTCCTCAAAATAAAATTCGTCCCGTCAAGACGTATTTGCTAGAAAGAATAACGATTTCAATTCCCCAATCAACATCACATGCCTACGGTTTTTGCACATCTTTTAAGCCCAGAATTCTTTAGAAGCAAGTTAATTTTTTTGGAATTCAAACTAACGAAAGTAACTATTCCAATGAATCTATATAACAACAGAGATTATTGATCAAGCATGCACTTGCATCAATTGTTTCATTATCTTCAACTGTCATCAAGTGGTGACATAAATTGACACAATGAATACATATCTAAGCTTTCCAGAAAATATCACTGACATTCTGTAACAAAAGAAATAATTTGACATGGACAACCTATCCCATAAGCGTTTAAAATTTGCTTATATGCACATAATAGTAATATATATGTTTTTCTCAAAATCTGATAATTAGACAATTGTTTGTTGTAGGGGAGATCTCTCTTTATCGTGTACAGGTGGTATTATTGTTTGATAAAACTCAAGATTTATATAGAGAGTAATACAGTATTTTCACTTCAGGCATATTTTAAAAGGCCCAAATATATGCATAAATCTTGTTTGTGTTAGAGAAAAATAATATATTCTAATACAATATATTGTTATGACGAGGACATTGAACAATGTACTTTATATTACACTGTCATTGAATGCACTGTGACTTAATTTAGGTTGGAAGTAAACTAAATTCACATCATACTTCACTGATTCTCTCAAGAGTCACATATATATATATATATATATAAGTGCTAGTATATAACAGGCTGGATTCAGGAAAGATAAATTATGCGCTGACCGAATTGTAACACTACGCGTCATAATCAATGAAGACTTTGAAGTGATAATGGGGGTAAGGGAAGGCTGCCTACTACCACTGACGATTCTTCAAAATGTGGTAAAGTGGACTTTGCAAAAGACATCTGGGATGCTTTAAGTTTGGATGGTCGCGGATGATTCACGTCTAATGTTATACAAACTTAAAAATCTACAGGCAAACACTAACAAGTCGGCAGAGGAACCACTGAAGAAAGTACTCTAAGTGAAGATAGAGAAGGTATAGATGATGAAGCTACTTAACCGACACTAAACACCAATCACTCGATTACAATCAACAGGAGAAATCTAAAGGATGTCGTCTCCTTTGGCTTACCTAGACAACATTATTCCAATTACAGACGCTACAGATAGCGATGGGGAAGCAAGACATAGGTTTGTTAATTTATAACGAGTGTGGCGATGTACAGAACTCACTACAATGGACAACATTCAAATTTTCAATACCGAATTCAAGTCACTTCCGTATTCTTCAGGGACTTAGTGCGAAAGTCACCAAAAACACCACCGGCAGGCCGCTGTAGACTTTCTTCAGCAGCTACCTTCAGTGGATATTGATGATTAGATGTTCAGAACAGACAAACGACAAAGAACTCTGGAAGCCAGCCATTCAACAATCTATGTGGAGTTGTGGTTCATTGGTCTAGGCACTCGAGTTCAAACCAGCGGGTCACAGCTTCAAATCTTGGTCTACTTGCCGAGATTCTGGCAGGCACGTATTACCGCTAGGCATAACACAATAGGTGTGGCTCATTGCCAACTTCAGAGAGAGATATGCTTTTGTTTGTTGAGTAATATTCAGCATTTCATTAATTCAACAATCTATATCCAGCAGCGTAGGTTCAGGGAATATTTAAGTGACGTCACATTCCAGACCCTGAATTGGAACCTGAATGAGAAACGACGAGTCGAACATCTCTTACGGTGACGTGGAGGTCGTGTGAAGAGGGAACGAAAGCGTCTAAGCTATTGTAGAGTCAGATGAAAAAGACATTGGCGGGGATGTACCGCTGAATCCCTGTCCCATTCAGAATCCAAGGAAAGAAAATGTCAATGATATGAGGGCAGAACTTGGAAGTATTTAACTTTAGATTTGTTTGTTTGATTTTATTACATAATGAAACAGTTATTTACTGAAAAGTCTTTCAACCTAAGTTATCATTTGAGACTGAAATTCATGGCACCCCTTTTATCTTTCCAGCTTCTTTTTATTTTAAGTGCATTAAAGTCTTCTGCAAATCAGACGCAAGTATTTAATCGTTTATATTGTTATGATCAGTTTCTTTCTCTACTTTTCTGTCCATCTATCATTTTGATCCCCCCTACTATACATTATTATAAGTCATGAAACTCCTGTAACTTTCACTATGGATTTTATGCCTTGTCGGAGTGTTGCTTGTTTTTCTTTTTACTTTTTAACAACCTAAGTGACCAATAGTCAGTATTGTCATCTGTGTATTGACCTCATCTTCATTGCATAGAATCAGATAGGCTAAATCAGCAAAATACACAAAATATTTAGATATCACTGGCCAATTATCATTTATTTATCTATTATGATTCTGTTGGGTTCGGTATGCACCACAGGACTTCGGCAGCTCATCTCTTTACTGCAATCCTGTTTATCTGGCTCCACGATTACCCTTAAGCTTTCATCTAAAACTCACTTGATCTCCTCCACGCCTAATTTTTAGTTTTCCATTCCAATTCCATTTGACAGCTTGGCACGTGTTGTCACTAAATGGTCTCTTCAGTGAGTGTCTACTCCATTTCCTTCTGCATATTTGTTAGAAGATAAGTACTTTATTGGTTTTTTGACCAGAGTTCTTTACTGCTCATCCTCTCTGGTCGGCAATCTGATCTTTATTAAGCAACTAGTGAAGGCAGCTGTTGATAAAAGTTCGAAGTAAACTGTTGGAAATGCTTTTCTTGGAGCATCAGCCAAGTCTCTGAACCATAGAGAAGCAGTGTTGAAAATCCAAATCACGTTGTTTATGCTGAGTGCAGCAGATTTCCAGACTGATTTTAGATTAATGAATATCTGTTTTGCTCTTCCAATAGTTAAATCAAACTGAAACATGAACTTTAGACAACACTGATGAGTTAGCGAATAGTTCATCAGGTTTCGTATCAATATCCATTACTGTCTGCTTTTGAAGCAGTGTGTCGGCTTTACTCTGAAATAATTCATAATCTGAATTGGGATTCCAGTTATATAAGTTTGTAACTGAAAATTACGAGGTTTTTTCTTCTACCTCATTTATTTGCTTGTCGAGTGATAAAGAGCTGTAAATCGCAGCAAGATAGTTCACCCCAACGTCAAAAAAGCACAAAGCTGAACGTCGAACCGTTATCAAACTTCCCGAATACACTGTTACAGGAGTTCACCATGAGTTGACATTATTTAGAGGACCATTGGAGACCAACAGGAAGTACTGTACAGCTTTTTCTTCCCAGTTTGGGGCTCTTCAGCAGTACGTACCCACCAGCGTACATTCTAGTTACACGGAGACCTCTAAGACCATAAGGTCACTGGTGCCCGATTTCATGGCCAATCCATGAATTCTAACTCCCACCGATTCACGATATAGAGCAACCACTTGACATTATCATCGCTAGCGAGTATTTGTCCTTATTGTGGACCTGATGTATCCCACTGGTCATGACTTCTCACTAGAACTCGAGGTATCTACCTACCTGAATAGGGCCAGTCGTTAGTGAGCATCTCAGTCATGTTCAAGTACTGGTTTGTAGGTATTTGATTGATTGGTTACAGGATTTCATCATGAGCCGACTTCGTCTTATAACCAGGAGGTCTCTGTTTTGAAATCCAGTGAGCGTGTACTTCTGAAGAATCCAAAACCTGGACGGAAAGGCTGTCCAGTACTCCCAGGTTTTCCAATGGTTCTCTAGCCAACATCAACTCATGATGAAATCCTGTAACCAATCAATCAAATCCCTACAAAGCAATACTTGAATTCACTATGTGTTCGATTTAAGTTTATGAATAAATATGGCATTGTGAAACAAGTATTATTCAAACTTCAATCACTTATTTCCATTTATTCATTTGCATTCCTGTAATTACTTTTTATCAAGATGTATCTGGTCATGCACGTCTATGGCATTATACAGGAGCTACGAAATCTTCACGTCTTTTGGCCACTTTCACAGAGGAAAGAATTACAAATCCATCGGATATTCAACCAAGAATAAATGCTGAGAAACCAATGAATCAAATTCTAGCCTGTTCATGTTCATATGATGCTAAACGTTTTATAACAGGTGGAGATGACTGTCATCTTAGAGTGTATGATTTGAAATCTCGCACACGTCTACGTGTATGTAGTTCCAGGTAAGCATTAGTTCAGTGTTAATACAGTTGTTTAAACGTGTCTAAGAATTAAACTGTCTAGCCACTGAGGCAGAATCCAATAGCCTATCAGTTCTAACCTCTACCATTTTGTGAGACATAGCATGACCACGAGGCAATGTGTTCAGTAAATAGATGTCCTTACGTCCATCTTGGTAGACTCTGTTAGTCACCTTCATCCTTCAGTCAGTCATTAGCAAGTGATCAGTAGATTAATTTTCAAAAGTTTGCTTCGGTTGAGTTCATGTTTGATCACAAATTGATTTCACTTCGATTCTCGGTTGGGTCATGTGTACTTACTGACGAAGAGTCTCGAACTGGGACGAAATAACTGTTGAGTACTCCCTAGTTTGGAGTAGTTGTTTAAATGAAGTCAGCTTGTGATCAGTCGAACTAACACTTGAAAATTAAACTATTTTTTTACACATATAAACATGTTATTCACTAGATGTCAGTCAGTTCTTTAGACAAATTAAATCTATTTCACATTCGTGATATTTTACTGTACATTTCGACTCCAGTTGGGAGCACTCTTAAACCTTACTTCTAGTTTAATGGCCAGTAGTATGTCTGTAAAAGAAGGAAGGTTGGGTATAAGGCTAGCAACCTCACTACTACTGATAACGTAAAGCTTCAAGCCTTATTTTCTACTCGGAAAGCATTGAAATAAAAATAATGAGACATTTAACAAAGAATAAGGCGAAAAAGTTGCTATCTAGACCCCGTTTCAGCGACTAGATGGTCATTGGGCTCATCTCGTGACCCAAGAGTCCTAGGTTCGATCTCTGAGGCGAAAGAAGCCTACAGTACACCATGTTTTTCAATGGTTCTCTAACTGAAATGGCTTAACTCGAAACTAATCCAAATAAATACCTCAAAAAACCAATAGTTTAAGGAAATTGTCTTTTTGACGGTTTTACAGCAGTACAATAGTATTTATATTTGAATTACAATAGACAATTACGCTTATTTGTACGTTTGTTTAAATTTGACAGTTAATGAAAGTATTGAAGTGCTATCATACTGTTTAAAGTGATTATGAATCACAAAGTGATAAGAAATATGAATGAATAAAGAAAAGTCATTTATATTTCTAATCAGTTTGTGATTCCTAATCATTTCCATTCACTGTCAGATTTTAAAAACAAAGTACTTGTCATTGTTTATTGTAATCCATATATATATATATATATATATTGCAAAGGTATGAAAATAAAACCATCGCTAATGAAAACTTTGTTTGTTGTTATCTGTATAATTAGCTGTATAAAAGTACTGTTTTTAGATGGCTGGAGGCAACTAGCAAGAAAGACTTGGACGTAGGATTCGTGCTAGTCGGCATTCACCAGTCAGCAAGGTATACTGCAAGCTTGAAGGAAGAGACTCGAACCCACGTCACCCAGTGCTGCAGTCAGAGAGGTTACCACTGAGGTATTCGGGCTTGCGATTGACCTCCTGTAGGACTATATTGGATACTTATTTTTGACTGGACACTAGTCATTGCAAACTTGACTGATAGAATTCAGTCCGCACCAAAGACAGGACTAGATGCATCACACTAGTTACTAACTAGTGTCCAGTCAGAAAGAGTACCGTTTGTGTTTCAAGTGGAACATAATGGTTCAAGATTTGAATTTCAAAGTTTTAGTAACAGTGGTGTTGTTTTCCTTACTGCGTGAGGTTCCCAGTCTCACGCATGACTTTCCCTCTTGTCTAGGCTTACTACCAGATGAGGTTTAGGATTGTATAAAACCTGTTGCTTATTATTATATTACGATCATTACCTTAGGTTCCAAGTAAAAAAGGTAGAGTTTCCGCAAAACATCTCAATTTCATAATGTTCTCTGAAGTCCCCTTTAGCTGGCTCCACGATAACCCGTAAGCTCTCATCTGCTCCATGTCACCTTCGGACCTATGCCCATCTCATCTTTCTCCATTATGCTTCCACTCGATGGTCTGAGGAGAGGTGTTAGTCAACTGTCTTCTCAGAATGCATCCAATCTACCTCCGTTTTCTTCAGTGTATTTGCTGGGCAGTAGGTTTTTGGTTCGTTTGTTTCCAGATTTTTTCGTTGATCATCCCTTCTGGTCATTTGATCTTTAATATGGAGCGAAGTGGACAGCTGTTGATGAAAGTTTGCAGTAGCCTATCGGAAATGCTTTCCGTGACGCATAAGCCAAGCATTGACTGACTTGACTTTAGCGCTGAAAATCTGAATCTCGTTGTTTGTGCTGCCTGCGGTAGATTTTCACATCGATTTTGAGAGTAATGAAGATTTGTTTCGCCTTTCCAATCGTGGTTGGGTTCAATATCCTCATCTGCGCTGCCACTTGCAGTAAAAACTCTACCTTGTTAAGTAAAATAAGTAACATCCTTTAAATTTCTCCAAATGACGGTGATTGCAACTTGTTGTAGTTGTTGCTGGTTAGCTACCTTTAGCTCCTGTGTCTTCTCTATGTTTTTAATTCATGAAAAATCCCCATTCGAACATTAACAGACAGAAAAACAGTAGTTCAGCGAAGAGTCTCCTTTCGGCGAATCCATTTTCATAGCTGTACAACCTCAAATATATATGGTTGTTTTGTATGTGTGTGTACACTAAATACAATTGGTAAGTTTAGATGAATTGGATGTTGATATGATAGGGTAGTAACAAAAGTGATGAGTTGTCACAAACGATTGTTAAAGAAGAGTTACGTAATAACATGAATAGTTTGATAAAAGAGTTGTGCTCAGGGTGTACATGGAAACAAAATAGCATACGGAGTTATGCAAGAGTTTTAAGTGGTTAGAAAAATAAGCATAAAAGTAGAATTTAAGTCAAATCAACAGGGTTATTACTATAATAGTAGGAGTGGTTGAATGATTTTCTTTTGTATGCATAGTTCTGGTTCTTCTAACTGAATAGTTAGGGCTTCTGCAGTGCAAAGAAGACGGAAACGTATTGTCTTTGGCAGGTTGTTATTCACTTTGTAGATTACTTCAAAGGAGGCGTTTGTTGAGATGGAATTACCAGTGGTGAAGAGATGTTCTATTATTGCACTCCCTATACAGCCACTATTTCTTTTCCGCAACCACGCTAGATAGTGTTCTTTGACCCTTTTTGACAGGATTTGCGTCGAACGACCGATATACCTGGCTCCACAGCAACAGGTGAACTGATATATACACATAGAAGTGGTTAGGTGCGAGAGCTTGTCCTTTGAGCTTCTGCAGATCAGTGGACAACTGGAGAACACTACCCTCAGTGTTGCTGCGAAGAAAGTTCTTCTTAAAGAAGTGGAAATTCGCCTCTTAAGGACATCACCTAGCAAATCATCTTCGAAGTCGAGGTTCATATAAAGTGTCTTTTTTGGCACGGATGGTGTCTCTTGTTTTCCCATTTTCTGTTTGATCTTTTTGTCTATGAATCCTGTTGGATATTCTTTTTGGAAATTTCTTTCGGTAAATGTGGTTCTTTTTCCAGGGTATCAAAGCTGCAGATGCGTCGAACGACCGATGTACTTTATATTCCACTGATTTACTTATTCTGTTCTTCTTTTGAACATGGTGATGATGAGAACAATAGAATCGATTGTGTATTGGACTACATGTATATTTATCAAGAATGGATCACTTTAGCAGTTCTTTATTAATTCATGAAATAAATGTCTCGTACTTATTGTACTTATTGTTTATTCTTGTTTATTTTACTATTATTTGCGATAAAGCTTTTCAAAAGATAAAATGGATGGACATGTTAGACGTATCTGTGCTGTAAAATATCATCCACGTGGTGCTATTTATGAAGACTATGTACACATTTTTATAACTGGCGGTTGGGATGATACAATACAAATATGGGATGATCGATATTTACACTCTTTATGGTAATTCATTAACCTATTCACTTATTTGTTTATTGTTTTGGCTGTTTTTTTGCAGTGCTTTAGTAAAAATGTAACTTTTATGTCATTACACTGAAATATCTATTGGTCAAAGTGTAACGACAGAAGACAAGGGCCAGGCAACATATCGTTTATTGAGAAAATCAACAGATATTTATAGATTTTTATGTATATTATTATTCGTTATTGTTAGCCGAGAGGTAATGTCTTCTGATTGGTTGTTTTCCTGCTGAAGGTTATCCTGTCATCTCTTTGTTGCCGTTTCTTAGACAGTTCGGTCATATATCTGCTAATCTTATCCGCCCACGCTAAGTCTACTGTGATTGGTTGTTGAGTTAGTCTTTGTTTTTGTTTTTTCTCATAACCAAGACATGGGACGGAAACAATGACATAAATTGCTGTCTACCAAATTTGGCTAGCAGACAGCTCTCACCACAAAAGAACTAAACTTGAAGTGGCTAAGTATAGACTTTTCTAGTTTGCTAGATATGAGTATCAAATAAACCTCAATTTCTCATGTGATGTGTAAGTAAACAAATTAAAACAAATTAAACGGACCAACCAGGAAGCTATCGCCGCAAAAATATGGAGGAGGAAAATGAGGTTGACTGGACAACCGCTGATGACGCTGTTGAGTTACATCACGCATCAGGTAGGTCCTCCATTGGAATCCAAATGAGGACGAGGAGTTTGGGGTGAGTCCCAAGGTGACACTGAGGGTATCATGTGGTGAGCAGATGAAAGCTTAAGTGTTTTCGTGGCGCCAGTTAGAAAAAGACCCCACAGAACACTGTGGAATGGAGATGTGCCTTTGAAACCACATGTTACAATCAGAATAAGTAAAATATGGCAATATACGCTGTAACACAAAATGACAATCTTAAAGTCTAATACAATCAAGTGGAGGGAGAGATTAATAACGGAAGCTTTGTTTATCAAATCAACTAAGAATACATGCAAGAAGAATGATTCAAAATCTATCCTAAACCTCTAGAGATTTCTACTAACCCAACAACAAGTGGGAAACAAAAAACAGGAACGTAAAAATCAATTTTCGAGGTTGTCTGGTTGCAGCTGATATGATTATGAACAATAAATTTTGTTCAAAATACCACCCATTAAATTATACTGTTTCATTGTGTGATATATGCAATAAACAAACTAAAATGGGATTAATCTCTAAGCCACTATTCAAGCACATAGTAGAGTAGAAGGTAGTGGATCGAAGTAAATATTATTGATCAAAATGATCAAGATAATGTTACTATTTATTATATTATTATTCCCTTGCGTTCCGAGTGGAACATAGATAGGGCTTCAACAACACATCTCCACTTTGTTCTGTGTTCTGCCGTCCTCTTCAGCTGGCTAGTTCCACGATTGACCAAACCCTCTCATATCTTCCTCACGCGATCTTCTCCATGTCACCTTCGCAACGGCGACCCGCTCGTCGCTTCCCATTGGGATTCCACTCGAGGGCCTGACGTGCGATGTCATTCGACGGCCTCCTCAATGTATGCCTGATCCATCTCCACTTTCTCCTGCATATTTGTTGAGCGATCGGCTCTTGGTTGGTTTGTTCATCGCCAGAGTTTCTAGTTAATAATTCTTTCTGGACAGCCATTCGATCTTCAGTATGCAGCCAACTAGCGAAGTGGGCAGCTGTTGATGAAAGTCTGCAGCAACCTGTTAGAAATCCTTTTCGTGACTGACACTCAGTGCAAGTTTCTGACTTGTATAGAAGAACTGACTTACTCATTTCACATTTTTGTTGAAAATGTGAATCTTGTTATTAATTAAATGTGGGTATTTATTACAGTATATGTTAAAGAAATGAAACATTAACTGAAGATATAAAGTTTGACCCCGGAACTATGTCGATTACATAACCACTAAAAACCACAAGGGACTACTAGAAAACTGTTTCGTTCGTGTCTGAGACTCTTTATAAGCATGTGTTCGTTGGGATTCAAACCCAGGACCTGGTTACTAGACTGTCCAGCCACTGGGATCAAATCCAATGACCCATGAATTCCAACTTCCACCAGTTTTTGATTTATCATATAACCGCCAGCTAATGTCATCGGCGAATAACTATTCTTTTGACTGACTTTTTGGACCCCACTGGTTATGATTTCTCACTAGAACTCCAGGTAATCTCGTCCTGTAGATGGTCATAAGCGAGCATCAGATTAATTTTCAGCATTCGGTCTGTAGGAACTTGATTTGTCTGAAGTTTGAACACGTTAAACCGCGAACTGGTAGAAGTTAGAATTTATGGGCCGTTGAGTCGGATCTCGGTTGTTAAATGGTTTACGAGCTTACTTCATAACCGGAAGGTACCGGATTCAAAACTCAATGGGTGCGCTCTGCTACTGAGCCCCAAAATAGGACGAAATAACTGTTCAGTACTCTCTGTTTTTCGGTGGTATTTTAACTGATATCAATATGTGGTCAGACTTTAAACAAGTTAAATTCCTACAAGCTAATTCTTGAAAACGAAAATGTAAACTTTATGCATTTCTGCCTGTTATTAAACTTGAACAAACACGAACTCCAAGTGTGCCGGGATAATATGAGCCTCCACTTCTTATTATTTCGTGAATTCTACTCAGCTGGTTACAACCTGAACAATACAAGAAAAACATTTTTCGATAACAAGGAGCAACTGACAGGAATCATGGGAAATATGAGTCAGTTAAATTATGAAGAGTTAAAAGAACTCTTTATTTACAGGATAGTTGAACAACCTCGTCTAGTCTACTAGCTCGGCAGTTTCCTGTCCGGTCCTAATTCTGGGAAAAGAGAGAGGGTTGGGCTTGGGGCTACCAGCCCCGGATAATCAACCCAGCTGCTACAGAAATTTCACAGTACAAGATAGATATTAGAAATATGAAAAGAAACTTATTTTTCGCTGGAATCGGAGAGACAAGATGATGCAGGTCTGGTAAAAGCCTTCGGGAAGCCAGTCAGCCAGTTGATGTGTCTTCTTCCCGCGAAAGTAAGAATGAGGATGGGAACGTGGAATGTTCGTAAAATATACGAAGCAGGGAAAGCTGTCCAGGTTGTCAAAGAAATGAGAAAATATGGCCTGAAAGTGCTAGGAATGTGTGACAGCAAGTGAAATGGATATAGACTATCGGAATTGTCAACTGGAGAATCAGTAATCTACTCCAGTCACCCAGACGACAACCACAAGAATACTAAGGCAGTGAGTGGCTATCAGAATGTCATCAACGGCAGCCAAAGCTCTTATGCAATAAACAGGATAATTAAACTAATATTCTTCAAAAAAAGGACAGGGTTCGGAAGTTTGGGCAGAATGACTATGCTATCTAAATGCAGCAAATATGTTTTTGTAAGATGGTGAGACAGGGAGGCAAGATGAGTGAGTGATGTTCAGATGAAACAGTTCTGTAACCAGAATAGAAGATATAGGAAAGCATACATGACATCATAATAAAAATATAAATATGAACAGAAAGGATTTCAGCACTTTAGTATAACGCAGACAGTTAGAATCAAAAAAAGGTGAACCAGCTAAGTTTTGCTCATTAGATATACAAAGTGATGTGGTGGATTTTGTATTGAATTTTAGATCCGTGTGTAACGGTATTCTAACCATCCATGCATTTTTAAATTCCTTGTCTGTAAGCTAACATTTCAGAAGTTTATGTTATGAAATCTTAGCAAGACATGTAAAAGATTTCAAAAAGATTGGTTTTTGTAGGGATTTTGTTTAAATGGTTGGAGGATTTCATTATGATCTGACATTAGTTAGAGAACCATTGCAAAACCAGCTAGGAGTACTGGACAGCTGTTTCGTCCCAGTTTTGGACTCTTCATTAGTAAGCACCCAACGGGGCTCGGACCTAGGACCATTAGGTAGTAACTCATCGAATAAGACATTGAGAAGTGGCCACGCTATGTCATGAATTGGCAGAAGTTAGAATTCACGAACTGGCCATTAAATCGGGTCCCAGTGGCCTAATGACCTACGAGCTCGGCTTCTAACCAGAAGGTCTTGGGTTCGAACCCTGGAAGTGGGGTGGGTGCGAATTGATGAAGAGTCCAAAACTAGGTTGACGGAACAGCTGTCCAGTACTCATAGCTAGTTTTCCAGTGGTTCTCCAGCTGATGTCAGCTCATGAGGAAATCCCCCAACCCATTTCAAAAAGATTTACACTTCACGGGTTTCGGGTGTTTGTATTTCAAAGTCTAGTATTCAAGTTCTAAAAAGAGTAGACTGAGATATAAACGGTCAAGAAACGAGAAAGGCATTTACTACTATTAGCCAGATATGTAAGCCTTAGTCCTGGGAACTTAGTTTTCATGCTCGGAAGCATGTATCACTGTGGCGAAATAAAGGTGTAGTAGAAGGCACTAACAGTTCGATATTAGCACAGAGTGTCTGTCGTGTACCTACTGATCTGCCTAAAGTCTCCAGGTACCAGATACTGTAAGCGGCAGGAGCCATAGCTGTTCACTTGAAACCAATCCGGAATACTTTCCACTGCATCTCTACATTTCACCTTCTCCCCACAACCTTTTGTTCGTCGAAATATTGAAGACAGTGTCTCAGTTCTGACAACAGCCATGTGTAGATATCTTTTCACTGGCTCCTGTGGAACTAACCACATAGTAAGATATTGTGTAAACTTGCGTAGGAACTCGCAGCGTATTTTTCAATAGGAGATATCACACTAACTAATAGCTCAATTCTTCAGCACCTCGTTCCTACACATCATTCTACATCAATAGAGAAACTGTAAAAACTGATGTATAATTTAAGGCCAGGCCGTTCGAAGTCGTCTCCGACTACATCTTCTGTCTACAATAATTGCTGTTTCTGCACACAAGAAAAACCATGAACTGTGTATGCAGAAGTGATTTGCTCAATGTCTTTTTCTATGATGGTGTTAAAATTGTTGTCACTTGTACAACAGTTGGATATGTAATCCATTCTCACTTGATTTTTCATTTCATCTTTTTTTTCAAAATCCCAATTATGTGATATACTTTATACTTATTCTGAGTCTTTTACTCTTTTTTATGCCCTTACGTTCCCAGTGGAACAGGGCTTCAGGCTAGAGGCTTGAAGTTTCGGTAGCAGTGGTGTTTATTTTTACGGGGTGGGATTGCTAGCCTCATGTCCAATCTTCCCTCATTACCAGTCCTATTACTGGCTTAGCGATGTAAAGGAGTGCGTCAGTGGCCGGGGATCGAACTCCGGACCACATACGACGTGGTTGGCGAGCATTCTACCACTGTGCCACCGACGCACACGTCTTTTGCTCTAATAAATAAATGTTTCTGTTTCTAGAATCTTACAGTTTTTAATATTAATCATTTCTGTACGCTGTTCGTCGAGTGGTGTTGTAGGATTATTTGAGATTACCTAACATTTCCTCAATTCATCAATTTATTCCTCCTGACGTGTTATTTCATATGTTACGTTACTAAATGATATTATTAACTGACCCTAATAGACACTTCCATGACATTTTAGAACACTATTTAACTGTAGGTTTTTATGAGACCTATGTCTTTTTAGTTTACGTCAGAGGTGAATGAACCGGATTATTTTATCGGAAAAGTAATAAACAACAGATAGTGAGTGGTGTTTATTTATGCAGGGCGAAAGGTCACCTATAAATGTATGCCGCATAACAGTAATTAAAATCTTACAGGTTCTACAGCAGTTTAAGACAATAAAGTAGCTAGATCTGTTTGTATACAAGGCTCTAACTGACTGTTTCTAGTGAAGAGCAATGGGTTATAGTGGTTTTCGGCAGATTATTAGGTACACAATAGACAATAGTCCCAATGTTGAACTGTAAATGCTCCCAGTAACATCTTTATTTAGCTACTCTGGGAGCATGAAAAAACTAATTTTCATGTAGAACGGTCTGTGTTACTGGATAAACAATAGACACAGAAAGAGATAACCAGCCTTATCGCTTCATCGTTCTGATTTGATATCACCACCGTGAATGTAAAAGACAAGAGTCACAATTTACTGGTATTAAAAGTTTTCCGAATTGATTTTCTTAGCTTGCTAATTAGTATTAAACTCGTCATGTAGCCTCTCAGTTGTAATCTGAAAAGACCATATAACTGTAATCAAAGAACCATTAAAGTATAATTATAGCAAGTTGATTTATTACTACTGTAAATATGGGCTTGACTGTGTTGGTTTGGATTAGAAAAGAGTTAGGGGTGGCCAAATGAAAGTCCTGGCATAAATACATGAAATCTATCAAAGTTGATCTGTACCACATGGAGAGGTGTAGACTGTCTAGTTGAAGTTTTCGGGATGTTAAGAACCGATGGCTGGTGACTATTGGTGTTATGGCTCAAAATTATTCTTAGTGACGTTGATGCATTAGCTCTTTTTAATCTTCCATATTCATGAAATCCTCATGTTTCTCCCGGTAATTGTTCCTTCTGTGGTTCCATCCTGTTCATTATAGTTCTTTTGGATTTTTTTCTCTTTTCCCTACCTTTGTGTATTACATGAAGTGTGTCAACTTGAACTTTTGCACTTCTGTGCAAAGTGGTCTATCAGTCAAGGTTGGTTTGAGAGCGAAGATTTTGTTTAGAAGGATAATGAAGGCTTCTTAATCAAACCGCCTGGATTAGGGAACACAACAACACCAAAAAAGGGTGGTAACTGATATGTAAAGAAGATTACATGCTTATATGAACATATGGACAGCCACTCGTTCAAAGGGTATCTATCTAGTATCTTAAACAATTTTATCCTGATAAAATGGCCTGTTGAGACTATACCACTTTGTTACTGTTTAAGGGAAAATCTTCATTTATCTATTTATTTAAGTCAATTGTATTTTTCCCCGTTGATTGTCTGGATCAAGATGTTCGGCCCCTGTTGACATGTCAGATCCTAGTACGGCCGCTTTTATGGTGCCTGAAGATTAACATGATGTCATCTGGTGGATGGTGACTAGCTTCGGAATTCAGAATGCTTACTTCTTCTTATTTAGGAACTTAGTAGCTGGATGTGCCTGCAATCCCCATTGGGTGGTGTGGTGGTGTTTCCTTTGAGATTCAAACCCGGTAACCTTCGTTTCAAACTCCAAAGCATTATCCACTGGGCCACTGTGGCGATGACGCTTCGGCATTCGAAACGACAGGTGGTGAGTTTGAGTCTCAGTGACAACACGATAACGCAACAGAAATTGGAGGTACACCTAGCCAACGAGATGCGCATCCTGGATTCCAGTGCTAACTGCTATCCACCAGGAAACCTTCATCATTTGGAAATCGAGTATTTTGCGTGTAGTTATGTGCTTCCATTTTTCTTCAGAACTATATTTTCATAAAGCTTAGGAAATCAATAAATTTATTACCTTTATAACGTTACAGACAACAATAGTGAATTACTATATTCTATGGAGATATATTTTTCACAATTGAAATTTCTCTAGGATTTATCATGGTCCGCATATATGTGGATCAGATGCACTGGAGATTGAATCAGAATCGAATCATATATTATCAACATCTTGGCGTCGAGACAAAGCAATATTACAAGTGAGTAACCCTTATGATTTCACATTTTATCATTCAAAAAAAAGAAGAAACAAAATGAATGTCAAGTATAATCAATTATTCTTGCTTTTCAAATCACGGAATATACACATTTGATCATAGGGAATAAAAAGACAGTTGCAGCGAAGAAAATTTTCTTTTCGACGAATTCATCATCTAGGCTGTACATTCGTGTATTTATATCAAATGGATGGGAAAGTTCCAGAACAATTTCTGGTTAGGGGTTGAATTAATAAAAATTACAATTAGGAATTAGAATGCCATAATAAACAGGGGGATGGGTAAAACTAAAACAAAGTAGCATAATAACTAAGAAAATTGACATTGTGCAATTGGGGGTTAGAAATGTAAAAATAACAAAATATACAGGATGTTTGGATAAGAAACTAGTGTGATGAATAATTGTTTATGTAATCAGGGATTAAATATGTAGAAATAATAAAGTGACAAAATAAACAGGAAGTGTGGATGTGAAAATATGGTAGTGTAGACAGGGATTAAAAAAACTTAAAATAACATGAATAAACAGGAAGTTTAGATAAGAAAGGCGATGGGATGGTCATTATTAAAAAATTTACCTGTTTACGATGGCCATGGCAGGGACAGGGGTTGAATGTATTTCTTTTGGATACAAAGGGTGGGTTTGAGTTTTTGGATAGCTAACGCCTCAGCTATGCCCAAATGTCTTGATTTCACTCCCTTTGATAGGTTTGGTTGAATCTTGCATATTACTTTGAAGGACTTTTCGAAAGGCGCTGAATGTCCTGAGTTGACCAGATGTTCTGTCACTGAACTGTTTATACGTTTTTGCTCTCCTTTTACCAGCCAGGCTGGGTAGTGTTCACGAGCGCGTTTTCCAAGTTGGCGCATGGTACGGCCGATGTACTCAGCTCCACAAGAGCAAGTGAACTGGTATATGCATGTTGAGGTGGCTCAATGCGACAGCTTGTCTTTCACGTTCTGGTTGAACAGTTTCTTGCAGGAAAACGTCAGTCGTAGGCTTGCGGCGAAGTATGTTTTCCTCAGAGATTTGGAGAGGCGTTTGCGAAGGATTTCTGCTTCGATATCACCTTTGAATTCTAGATTAAGCAGAAGTATTTTCTTTGGGACGGATTGGACTTGTTCTGAAGTCTTCTTCGGTTTGAGATTCTTGTCTATGAACCTGGCTGGGAAACCGTTTTCCATCAGGGTTTTTCGGAGATTATGCAGTTCTTCTTCGATCACTTCCTCGCTGCATATCTTTCGAATCCTCGAGGAAAGAGCGTGTATCAGGTTCCTCTTTCTGCTTAGCGGCACGAAGTTTTGAAAGTTGATGAATTGTCCAGTCCATGTAGGCTTTTTGTAAATGGACCTTTTCAAAGAGTCGTTGTCATTTCTTGTCAGATGGACGTCCAGGAAGTGGAACATTCCGTCGGATTCGGTTTCAAGTGTAAAGTCGATGTTTGGGTGGGCGTTGTTGTAATTTTTATTAATTCAACCTCTAACCAGAAATTATTCTGGAACTTTCCTATCCATTTGATATAAATACACGAATGTACAGCCTAGATGATGACTTCGTCGAAAAGAAAATTTTCTTCGCTGCAACTGTCTTTTTATTCTTGCTTTTGTAATTCCCATATGTGAGTCAGATTTTCCACTGTAAATTCCGGTTAGTTAAGGCAGAATAAGGCATAGTTTATCAGCAGTTAGCCAACTGGTATCAACCTGTTCTCTAGTTGTTTATTTCTAATTACGACTGAAAATATTATTGAGTAGTGAAGTATCGGTTGCATGTCGGTTGAAATTCCAGCTTCACTACCTTTGAATTTATAGCGTAAATTTGTCAAAAAGTGGTCAGAGTTCAATTTCTGTCTCTGAGGGATGAAAAAATAGTTTGGAGGAAATTTTTTCACTTCAATTTCTAAGCCGTAATCATTCATTTGTCCATACACGTGCATATCAAACTTTTGAAACTATATTCCAAGACTGATTTCCTCAAAAACAGACTTGATTCGAAGAATAGTCCAAAACCAAGAAGCGCTGAACGTCCATTTTCCAGTTATACAGTCTGAAACAGTATGAATACATTGTCAAGGGTATGACAAGTGAATCCGCGTTTACCCACTGATATGCCACTTCCAACTTCTGTCAGTTCAATGTGCAAAGTCAGTGCCAAGTTATGTTATCAATTGTTAGCTGTACACTTGCTGGATTTCATGAGGTATCATTAAAACGAAAATTCATATCATAACTTTCGACTTCATTTATTATTATCTAATGGAATTAAAGTAATATGTTGGGATATTCAGGTGAATTGAATTCAACGAAATGAACCTTAAAATACGTTAAACTGCGTAAATGCAATAAATAAAAGTAGATATCATGCAAAGAAATCTATATGATGTATGGTAATAGCAAATATAGTAAGTTCATATAGTTAAAAACAGTGTGAACTTTGTATAGGTGGTATTTACAAGCAGATTACTTATTTGACGATAAACAACAAATTGGCTGAAGAGGCAGCCAGTGAAGACAGGACTCCAGGTGAACATAGAGAAGATCAAGGTGATGAAGATAGCCGACCAACAGTGACAACAAACAGCATCAAACACCATCATCGAGAGAGATTTGACAGGGGTTACTTCCTTCCTTCACTTATCCGGCTGGGAAGCACGGTTTCAACCACAGGCAGTCGGGACGGATAAAGATGTCAGAGCCAGCCAGACAGCCAGAATCGGAAAGGCAAGATATGCATTCATGAACCTGAAACAAGTTTGAAAATCTCCACTCCACCTGAACATAAACAACAGGATTCTAATTTTCAACACAAATACGAAATCAGTCAGTCAATTCTTCTATGCAGGTCAGAAACTTGGCGTGTCGCGAAAAGGATTTGCAACAAGTTACAGAATTTTATCAAAAGCTGCCACCTTCGATGTCTCCAAACTGAAGATGAAATCGCCGGCCAGTCAGAAAGAATTAGCAACAAGAAACTCTGGGTGGCCACAAACCAACCAAGAACCCATTGCTTACCAAATGTGTAGGAGAAAATGGAGGTAGATTGGGCAAACTTTGAGGAGGCTGTCAAATAAAATCGCATGGAATGCAGGCCATCGATCGAGTGGAATCCGAATAGGAAGAGACGAGTGGGTCGTCGGTGCGAGGGTGACATGTAGGAGATTGTGTTAGGAGGAGGAGATGAGAGATTATGGTTAGTCGAGGACTTAGCCAGCTGAAGATGACGGCAGAAAACAGAACGATGTGGAGATGTGTTTTTGAATCCTTATGTGCCACTCAGAACCCAAATGATGTATCACACAGTGAAACAGTATTAATACTGCTTTACATTATCCCACACAAAACGTAGGATTACCAACGGTTGATCATTGTTTAGTAACAAGGTGATCCATGTTGACTGCCACCCAGACGGAAGTGCATGAATTCGACTGTTGCTTGATGGCTAAGTCACTATACTCTCCTAAGAACTAACAGATTGCTCAGATAAACGTGTCTAGCTATGATGAAAAAGCATCATTATTACTACAAGAACCACAGTAATCTTCAGACATTGTTGGTTCATTAGACTACAAAGTCAACACCAAGGGCTTCCAACATTTGATTTATTATAAAGTTTGAGAAGCAAAGAAATAGTATGATAAACAAGCCTAATTACATAGCTTAAAGGTATTAACAGGAGAAGTAGAGTTTAAATAGGATAATACTCAAACCAATTTAATAGAGAATATGCAACCTATTACAAAAACATCGTGTCACAGTACACGCATAACTTTCAAGAATGCTTTATGCAGAACACTTATGATTATGTGAATAACCTATGAATTTCATTTTTAGTCCTCTGGTTTTTAGCCAGTTTCTTTTCACTGTGTCGCAATCTTAATTGCGTTTTTCACGCTCAACTAACTTCATGTTTTCATGAACGGGTTTAAAAATTAGTTAATATTTTTAAATGTATCTTTTAATTGGTCATCCTCATCATACGATTCGATATGAATTTCTATAATTTAGATAATAGACAGTGAAAACAAACGCTCTATAAGAACAGAGTCTTATTCACCGCCTTCATGCTTCAGGAGTGTTCCTAGCAAAAGTGAAAGGTCAAATGCCAACGTTTGGTGATTACAAATAGACTGTGGACATGCATGTCTATCTACAGGGTGTTGGGAAACCCCTGTAGTGTGTATTGGCTCCAGAGTCCGATTGAATGGAATGGCATATTGACCTATTTTGGTCACCGTAAACTATGGAACAGACTTCAAGTGTAAGGTTTATATGTTGCAGATTGGTCTCGTAAGACAACCATCTGCTTCGGTCTTGGCCGCCGGGTAGGATCCCAGTAGTCGCACAAATTATCAGATTTTGTGTGGAGCATCTCCTGGTGTTCATGATGTACCCAGTTTGTGTTTTAGTAAATAATTTAGATAAAGTAAGAATATTATAAGAATATATGTATACTTCAAAGAAACAGTTTCCAAATCACTGGATAACAACCGCAATTTTTGCCTTAGACTACGTGGCACAAAAGTCTGCTATTCATCTATTTTCATTTTAAGGATTTCATCATAAGCTGACATCTGTTAGAAGACCATTGGAAACCACCTGCAAGTACTGTACAGATGTTTCGTCAGCCCAGTTTGAGACTCTTCGGAAGTACACACCCACCGCCAAGGTTCGAACTCAGGACCTTCTGGTTACAAGCCACTGGGACTCGATCCAACGGTGCATGAATTCCAACTTCTGCCAATTCATTCTATGGTGCGACCACTAGCGAATGTCATCTCTGGCTAGTATTCGACTTCATATTCTATACGCCCCAATGGTCACGAATTCCCACTAGAACCCGAGGTAACTGCCTACCTGAATAGGGTCAGTGGGTGTGCACTGATGAAAATTTCAAAATAGACTGACAAGACAGCTGTCCAGTAATTGTAAGTTTTCCAATGGTCCTCTAAAAGATGTCAGTTCGTGGTGAAATCCTGAAACCAATCAAATCCCTGTAAACCGCCACTTGAATATTTTCATCTTAATTTTCTTTGAAAAGGTTTGGAAATTCAATGAAGAGTTAATGGTTGAATTTTACGGTTGTACAGAGCTTCAAGGCGATGAACTTTCCATCCAACCTGGGGCAGAAATAGTAAACAGTCAAACAGGAGCTGCCCACTATTGTCAACCAGTAGCTGAAATAGCTCAAGATGGTTATGACAGACCAAGTAAAGTAAGAGAAAAAAGGTCTCTCTTTTTATGTTTTTGACTGTCATTTTGCTATGAAGTGAATCTTCTCAGACATTCCCACATCTCTGTACCTTCAACTTGAAATTCAAAGTATTCTTTTTTGAATATTTAATAGGCTTACTTTTAGGAGAAAATGTATATAATAAAATAAACAGTTTTGTAAAAAGTTTTTTAATAACTAAACTGTCTGCGGAAAATCTTTTATATGCATCAGTCTTCAGTCAGTTCCATGTAATGTACTGGTATGAAATCTTTTCACAAAATGATATGAAAGTAATTCAGACAATTGTAATTATCTGTAGACCACCCTACTGTTGGTATTAATTGGTTGGAGGTAACCAGTAGGAAGTCTTGAACCTAGGTTTCGTGACAGTTGACACCCACCAGTAAGTCAGCAAGGCGTATCCGCAATCTTGAAGGAACTGAAGTCTTTTCTGGGACTCGAACCTGCATCAGCCAGTGCTGCAGTCAGAGAGGTTACCACTGGGCTATTCGAGCTCGCGACTGACCTCCTGTAGGCTTGTATTGGATATTTTTGATTGGACACTATTCAGTGACTAGTGTAATGTGTGTGTGGCAACACTGTGTGACGGGGGTTTGAATCTCACAAGGGACATGAGTTCCTTCGAGTTTGCAGATATCCCTTGTTGATTGGTGATTGCCAACTAGCACGAGACCTAGGTCAGGAAGGCTTTCTGTGGCCGATTGTCTCTAACCATCCAGTACCAACAATTCACAGTGCACCGTGATGGCGAGCCACTTAGCATGGTGGCCACATTGAAAACTTGACTGATAGAATTCAGTCTGTACCAAAGATAGGACTAGAGACACACACATTACACTAGTTACTGGCTAGTGTCCAATAAAAAGGAACACCCTACTCTCTTCCACTTTTAACAACGTAACTGGTGTTTCGTCGTATTGTAATACAGAGGAGTCCAATGGTCATCTTTGTTCGATCAGACAGGTATTTATGAAATGTTTACACAAAAATGATTAAACCAAATAGTCCCCTTTAAGGCAAGTGGATTATATCACAAAAATCATATTTCAGCAATACAAGAAACGGGTTTGGGCATTTCGGTAGAATATTTTTAATTTTATTTGATAAAAAGAAACATAATGATACAATACAATCTACCGACAACTTTTCGAGGACATTTGATTACTCATAGTTTTAACAGGTCACATATATAACTTCAGTTATACAATTCCATTACTTCACACCCTTAGATTTTACTGGTAGTAATATTTGGCATTGGTGTTAAGTTACAAGTGAACAAAGATCCAGCAATGAACCTATCCCTTCACAGGCCTATATTACTTTCTGGTACTTTAGCTCCACTATGGCTTATTGTGTGGTCGTGTGTTAATGCAGGCGAAGAGTATTAAAGGTTATGAGTAGGGCAAGTGGTGTGCCACTAAGTCAGCTTGTTTACTATTGTAGTCGACCGACACCTGAACTCATATGAGAGATAGGCTAAATCCACATTGTCTGACTCTCAGAACCCTCTTTATTCATAACTCTCCAATTGTGTCTCATCTGGTAGGACTTGAAGTCCCAAATTAATTTGTTTATTAGATTTGTCACATAGTGAAACAGTATCATTTACTGGATGACATTTTGAACATAGTATATTGTTCATAAACGTATCAGTTATAATCACACGACTTCGAAACTTGGGTTTTATAGAGCAAGAAGAATCTGTACAGATGACTCGCTAGAAACTGAATTATGTTACATCCAAAGTACGTTGGTGCAAATGGGTTATCCTAGTAGATTTGTAAGGAGACGCATGAACACCAGGTACAATAAAGAGGAAATAATAACAGTTAAAAAGAATTAACTGTTCCTAAAAATTGCAGTTTACTGAGGATTCTAAGATTATCGAGAACAATAAAACGGACTTGTACTGCAGCCACCCCTTGTTTGTCATTTTCCATCCGACCAATTATGATTGATCAAGCAAAAGACAAGCTGCCATTTGCGCTGTGCCACTTCTAAGTGTATCTACAAATTTAGCTGCTCCTGCAGAGAAAGCCAACTATATAGAGCGAACAAATAGGTAGCTCAACAAATGCGTCATTGCTGAGCATCTTTGAAAAGACCAAGTAAAATCTACAAAGAAGTTCTATTTTGACTCATTTAATTGATAGTGGTCACCAAGTGTGGACAGAAGTAGTGCCTTCAAACTTATCTAACGGCCTTCAATCGAACCTTTGAAACAGAATTCGAACTCGCCTTTTACACGTAACCAAAGGCATGAGAATTCGAATAGAATAATTCTAGTCTTTGCATACAACAAAAGAAGTTTGTTCTACCTTTGTCTCTCCCTTGGCCTAGGTGAATTCTAATAAGGAAAAAACCTTCCATCTTTTCTTATTTTCTATTTCCTTCCTACTTTTATGATATTTATTTAAACTCTGACTATCTGTCCACTTCACCTTTAGTATTACTTAACTTTTAAGATCTGACCTGGTTCATTTATTGAATTGTCTACATATACACAAATTACTACTCTCGTTATTCGTATCGCCACCTGCATAAACTCCTTGCACTTTTGTTAACATTAACCTTATTTTCATCCTTATTACTGAGACTCAAAACATTTAACAGTTTTTATTATAATTAATCCACAAACTCACCATCATTGGTTAAATTTTTTATATAAGAATCTATGTGAAGTAAAGTAAAGCCTGAAGATCTAATTGAAAACAATATTGTTCGCTTATATGTCTTGTCGTAATATTAATAATGGGAATATTTAAAGGTTAGATATATAACACGAAATAATGAAATTTGGAGAAATGACGAAATTAGTCGACTTCAATTCATTGTAAAAACAAGAAAGCAATGAAGTATTATTATTATTTTCCTTTAGTTCCTAGAGGAACATACGGCTTCAGCCGTGCGTCTCCATTGCGTTCGGTTCTCTGCTAGAGTCTTCACCTGGCTCAAAGTTTGCCCACACGCTTTCATTTCCTCTTCACATGACCTCCTCCAAGTCACCCTTGCACTGACAACCAACTCACCGCTTCCCTTTCGGGTTCCACTCGAGCGATGGCTTGTCTAGTGATGTCACTTGATGGTTTCCTCAGAGTATGACCAATCCATCTCCATTTCTTCTTGCATATTTGTTTCACAATCGGTTCCTGGTTGGTTCACTCCCAGAGATCTCTGTTGGTGATCTTTTCTGGCCGGCCATCTGATCCTGAGTATTGAGCGAAGACAACTGTTGATGAAGGTCTGTAGTTTGTTTGAGGTGCTCTTTATGACACGCCAAGTCTCTGATCCATATAGTAGCACTGACTGACTTCACATTGGAGTTGAAAATCCGGATCTTAGTTTTGATGCTGAGTGTTGTTGACCTTCACACAGACTTGAGAGTAATGAAAGCTTGTCTTGCTTTTCCGATCCTTGCTTTGGTATCCTCATCAGTCCCGCCTGTAGTTGAAACGATGCTTCCCAGTTAGGTCGGTAGGCAAAGGAGGTTTTTTCTTTCCGATTTCTCCCATTTATGCTTATTGTTGTCTGTTGTTGTTGTTGATGTTGGTGGTGTTGCCCAGGAATTTTCATCACCTCTGTTTTCTCTATGTTTACTTGGAGTCCTATCTTTGATGCTTCTTCTGCCAACTTGTTGCTTTTCACTTGCATGTCTTCCAGTTTGTGGGAAATCAGACATATATCATCGGCGAAGTCCAGATCCTCCAAGTTTTTTGTGTGAGTCCATTTTATGCCTGTTTCCTCGTTGCCCACTGTTTGTCGCATTATCCAGTCAACTGCAATCAAGAAAATCATTGGCGATAGTAGGCAGCCAGCTTGTCTTACTCCTGTCCTAACTTCGAAGGGTTCCGTAAGTTTCCCGTTGTGGATTACTTGGCATGCAGCATTGTCGTATAGCTGTTGGATGAGATGTATAATTGTCGATGGCACACCGTAGTAGCGCAGTAGTTTCCAATTCACCTGTCGATCGACGCTGTCAAAGGCCTTTTCAAATTCGATAAAGTTGAGATAGATGGGTGACTGCCATTCCAGACTTCGTTCAATGATGATCCGTAATGTGGCGATCTGATCAATGCATAACTTGTTTCTCCTGAATCCAGCGTGTTCCGGTCGAAGTTTTTCATCCAGGGCATGTTTGATTCTTTCCAGGATGATGCGGCTTGGTAATTTTGCTTGGGATGGACAGGAGCATGATTCCGCACCAGTTCTTGCATTGACTTAAGTCTCCTTTCCTTGGTAGTTTGAATAAGTATCCTTTCTTCCAATCCTCGGGTACTTTGCCTTCTCTCCACAACTTCTCCAGTAGTGGCGTCATCAAGTTCGCTGTTGTCTCTGGGTCCATTTTCAATGCTTCTTCTGGGATTCCATCTGGTCCTGCTGCCTTTTAGCATCTTGGTCGCCTTCAGGACTTCTGATTTCGTCGGGGGGTTGTTGTTCACTGGTAGCTCTGTCTCCGTTGTTGGTATTGTTGGGCGCGTTGTAGGTGGTGGTCGATTTAGTAGTCTTTTGAAGTGTTCAGCCCAGTGTTTCCTTTGCTCCACTTCTTTGGTGAGTGACTTTCCATTTTCATCCTTCACCGGCTTAATTTGTGTCAAACTTTTCTCCGATAGGAACCTATTTGTGTGGTAGAGTGTTGCGAGGTCTCCTTTGCCTGCACTGCAGCTTGTTCTGCTTCACTTGCCAAAGGTTTGTAATATTGTCTTTTGTCTTCCCTGGCACTCTTCTTTACTCTTTTATTCAGTGTATTGTAGCTTGCATTCAACTCCTGTTTTTGTTGCTCGTCGGTGCACTGGAGAATCTTTTGTTTCACCATCCCTCTCTTTCCTATCAGTCTCCAAGTGTCCATAGTGAGCCACTGTTTTTCCTGTCTCTTCTTTCTGTCTAGAACTTCCATGCAGGTTTGACTCCACACTGTTTTCAAGTTGTTCCAGTGTTTTTCGACGCTGACCTCTTCACCAGTGTTGATTTGTGTCTCGGCT